GTGAGTCAGTAGTCAGTGTATCAGTGAGTCAGTGTATCAGTGTGTCAGTGAGTCAGTGTATCAGTGAGTCAGTGTATCAGTGAGTCAGTGTATCAGTGAGTCAGTGTATCAGTGTGTGAGTCAGTGTATCAGTGTGTGGTCAGTGTATCAGTGAATCAGTGTATCAGTGAGTCAGTGAGTCAGTGTATCAGTGAGTCAGTGTGTCAGTGAGCCAGTGTATCAGTGAGTCAGTGAGTCAGTGTATCAGTGAGTCAGTGAGTCAGTGTATCAGTGAGTCAGTGAGTCAGTGTATCAGTGAGTCAGTGTGTCAGTGAGTCAGTGAGTCAGTATAACCCCCTCTCTCTCCTCAGGGTTGACCAGGTCGAGGGTGAGAGGTGCCAACGCCTCCAAGGGTGACACCATCTTCTTCCTTGACTCCCACTGTGAGGTCAACCTTGGCTGGGTCACGCCCCTCCTCGATACCCTCCGTCAGGTGGGTCATGTAGTGTGTGTGTGTGTGTGTCATGTAGCATGTGTGTGTGTAAGTCATGTTGTGTGTGTGTGTGTGTGTGTGTGTGTGTGTGTGCGTGTGTGTGCGCACACAGGGTGGTGAAATGAATCTAATGTGGCAGCATTATGTTAGCGTTAAGGTACAAGCACTGCTTGCCCCCTCTCGCTTTCAGCTGCCACTGCTGGCTAGCCCTCGTGGCGAACAGGGAAGCAACTTGCATAAGTCTTCCCTGCCGATTTCCACCAGCCCTTCACCATCAAGACTCCTGCCAGCCTCCTCGTAACACACAGTAACTGGGTGCCTCGTGGCCCAGGCTGACCAGCAGGGGTCTCGGAGTAGCAGATGGATGGTGCATAGCCCACTGGCATGTGGACACGTTCTGGCGCCGACCAACCATTGCCCCGCTGCCTTGCAGATTAACCTTGGGAGGTACAAGCCTGCAGGAGTGAACCCCAAACGAAAATCTGTGGTGGAGCCCAGCATCAGGCAGACATGCTTACAGAGCTCAACAGACCCAACGACGGTGTAGGCGGAAGAGGTGACCACCATGGACTACACCGGCAGATGAAGGAGCAATACATGATGGACAGGCTACTAAGGTGAAACCCAACAAACTGAGCTATTGGCAGTCCATTGCAACTCTCCTCTCCCCAGTCATTGCAACACTTGCACCACTGGATCAGGAAAAGGAGAGCCAAGATATGTGGTTGCAGCCTGCGCTCCTGCCTCACCACATAAATCAACTCACGTGCAGCCATTATTAGCTCATCATACTCCCATCATCATCAAAACCCCTATACCCTAAAATGTGTTTTGGCGACGGACGAGTGACAAAGGGAACAGGCAGAGCTGACTCCCAGGAGTCTCTAGTCACAATTCTGCACATGGGCGACACAGATAAGATGGTCGTTTATGCACTGGGATCTAGGCAGCAGTGCAATCCGGTCCAGTCTGTGTGACTGAGCAGCCCTTATGAGGAGCCACTCTGCTCACCCCACATGGGAGGGAGCTAGAAAAGGTGCCCTAAACATTACCTGCCTAAAATAACAACCTAGATGGGTAACTGCACCCAGTAAGGTCATCCTTATGCGGTCGAAAACATAATCAAAATCACAGATCCAATCAAAAACAAACTACTGTATGCAACCTCTTATGGTCGCTATATGGAATGTCAGGACCCTTCTGGATACTGGCACAAATGAACTTCCTGAAAGAAGAACTGCCCTTGTGGCAAAAGAGCTGGCTAGGTATAACATCGACATAGCAGCCATTAGTGAGTCCCAGCTCCCAGATGAGTGTCAACTCACAGAACCGGAGTCTGGCTATAACTTCTGGAAGGGTAAGCCTGTTATGGAGAGTATCCACATTTACAGAGTTGGCTTTACCATCCGCCTATTGGGATCAACGAGCGCCTCAAGACGCTCCGAGTCTCACTGAATCACTCATGTCATGCCTTTTTCATCAGCTCATACACCCCAACACTGGATGCAGAGGATGACATCAAGGAAGCCTTTTACGCCGACCTTGACAGACTGCTAACCTCTGCCCCAGAGAAGACAACGATGTGCTCCTTGGTGACTTCAATGCCAGAGTTGACAGAGATGCTGACATTTTGCAGGGAACCATAGGGAGAAATGGACTAGGCAGTTGTCATCCCACCGGCCTACTCCTCTTCAGCAAGTGTGCTACACACAACCTCACTATCACCAAATTCCTGTTTAGGCAGGCCGACAAGTTCAAAGGTTCGTGGCAACATGCGCGATCCATACACTGGCATCTCATTGACTACATCATTGTCAGAGAAAGAGATCGCCAAGATGTCCTCATCACCCGTGCCATGTGTGGCTCAGTCGCACTTCATATTGCCCCATAACGGCGATGGCAGAAAGCCTCCAGAAAGGGTTTTTAACACCAAGCCTCTGGAGGATCCAGCAGTAGCACATGCTCTCAAAGAGTAGCTCGAACATGGGCTGATAAACAACCCCAACAACGTAATTTCTAGTGCAGAATGGGATATTCTCAAGACTGTCATGACAAAAACCTACAGAGACCCTCGGCCAGATCTAAAGAATACACCATCAATGATAAACGTGCTGCTTTAAATGACTGACAGAACAACCCTCAGTCCCGGGTCAAAGCTGATACTTTCCGCAAGAAGAAAGCGGCAGCCCAGCAGGAACTTCGCAATCTAAAGAACAACTGGTTTAAAAATAAAGCATGAGAAATACAAATTTTGCAGATCAGCACAAGATGAGCGAATTTTAAAATTCCACAAAAACATTTTATGGGCCAAAATCGTGGCTCAGCCTCCTCCGCTCATCCGACATTAACTCCATAATTAAAGACGATGAAGGCTTCCTTCAGCGGTGGAAAAACATTATCATTCACATCTCAACAGAAACACTGATGTGGATGTCCTGACTACCCAGCAGGTCCCTTATCATCCAGAGCTGACCCTCCTCAGCTATCCTCCATCCCTGGATGAGGTAGCTACTGCCATCAAACATGAAAAATAACAAAGCCTCAGGGCCTGATGGGATCCCAGTCGAGGTGTATAAAGCAGGAGGACCTCTGCTTACCAGCCGTCTCCACTCTCTCCTGGAAAATATTTGGGAAAAGGAAGTAATCCCCCAAGCTCTTAAATATGACTCCATCATCAATATTTATAAGAACAAGGGAAACCGGGCAGACATTGGCAACTACCGCAGGATCTCGCTTCTGTCCGTAGCTGGCAAGATCATCGCCCGAGTCCTCCTAAACAGACTTCTTCTTGAGGCGGAAAACTTCCTCCCACAATCTCAATGTGTCTTAGACTATCACGTGGCACCACTGACATGATCTTAGCTGCCCGCCCGATCCTCCTCTTCCTCCACCCAGAGTATTGCCGCCTGCCTGGAGCTACATGAGGCATGTTACTAATACTGGGTCAACATCTTGTGGGGCCACGAGTTAATAAAGGAGGAAGAGGAGGAGGTGGGAGTGAGAGGGGTGCAGGAGGACGAGGAGGAGGAGGAAGAGAGGCCAGTATATTCTGCCAATATTACCACTAAAATCTACATATTGGTGATAGTCTATACGCTTCTTCCTTCCTTCCTCCTTCATTCCCTCCCTCCTCCTCCTTTATCTTTCTTCCTTCCCTCCTCCTTTATCTTCCTTTCTTTCCTCCTCCTTTATCTTCCTTCTTCCCTCCTCCTTTATCTTCCTTTCTTCCCTCCTCCTTTATCTTCCTTCTTTCCCCCTCCTTTATCTTCCTTTCTTTCCTCCTCCTTTATCTTCCTTTCTTCCCTCCAATTTATCTTCCCCTTCTTCCTCTCCTTTATCTCCTTTCTTCCCTCCTCCTTTATCTTCCTTCCTTCCTCCTCCTTTATCTTCCTTCTTCCTCCTCCTTTATCTTCCTTTCTTCCCTCCTCCTTTATCTTCCTTCTTTCCCCCTCCTTTATCTTCCTTTCTTTTCCTCCTCCTTTATCTTCCTTTCTTCCCTCAAATTTATCTTCCTTCCTTCCCTCCTCCTTTATCTTCCTTTCTTCCTCCTCCTTTATCTTCTTCCTTCCCTCCTCCTTTATCTTCTTTCTTCCCTCTCCTTTATCTTCCTTCTTTTCCCCTCCTTTATCTTCCTTTCTTTCCTCCTCCTTTATCTTCTCTTCCCTCCTCCTTTATCTTCCTTTCTTTCCTCCTCCTTTATCTTCCTTCTTTCCCCTCCTTTATCTTCCTTTCTTTCCTCCTCCTTTATCTTCCTTTCTTCCCTCCAAATTTATCTTCCTTCCTTCCCTCCTCCTTTATCTTCTTTCTTCCTCCTCCTTTATCTTCCTTCCTTCCCTCCTCCTTTATCTTCCTTTCTTCCCTCCTCCTTTATCTTCCTTTCTTCCCTCCTCCTTTATCTTCCTTCTTTCCCCTCTTTATCTTCCTTTCTTTCCTCCTCCTTTATCTTCCTTCTTTCCCCCTCCTTTATCTTCCTTTTCTTCCCCCTCCTTTATCTTCTTCCTTCCCTCCTCCTTTATCTTCCTTTCTTCCCTCCTCCTTTATCTTCCTTCTTCCCTCCTCCTTTATCTTCCTTCTTTCCCCCTCCTTTATCTTCTTTCTTTCCTCCTCCTTTATCTTCTTCTTTCCCCCTCCTTTATCTTCCTTTCTTTCCTCCTCCTTTATCTTCCTTCTTTTCCCCCTCCTTTATCTTCCTTTCTCTCCTCCCCTTTATCTTCCTTCTTTCCCTCCTTTATCTTCCTTTCTTTCCTCCTCCTTTATCTTCTTCCTTCCTCATATCTTCCTTCCTTCCCCTCTTTTATCTTCCTTCCTTCCCTCCTCCTTTATCTTCCTTTCTTTCCTCCTCCTTTATCTTCCTTCTTCCTCCTCCTTTATCTTCCTTTCTTTCCTCCTCCTTTATCTTCCTTCTTTCCCCCTCCTTTATCTTCCTTTCTTTCCTCCTCCTTTATCTTCCTTCTTCCCCCTCCTTTATCTTCCTTTCTTTCCTCCTCCTTTATCTTCCTTCTTCCCTCCTCCTTTATCTTCCCTTTCTTCCTCAATTATCTTCCTTCTTTTCCCCCTCCTTTATCTTCCTTTCTTTCCTCTCCTTTATCTTCCTTTCTTTCCTCCTCCTTTATCTTCCTTCTTCCCCCTCCTTTATCTTCCTTTCCTCCTCCTTTATCTTCCTTCTTTCCCCCTCCTTTATCTTCCTTTCTTTTCCTCCTCCTTTATCTTCCTTCTTCCTCCTCCTTTATCTTCCTTTCTTCCCTCCATTATCTTCCTTCCTTCCCCCTCCTTTATCTTCCTTTCTTCCCTCTCCTTTATCTTCCTTCTTTCCCCCTCCTTTATCTTCCTTCTTCCCTCCTCCTTTATCTTCCTTTCTTTCCTCCTCCTTTATCTTCCTTTCTTCCCTCAAATTTATCTTCCTTCCTTCCTCCTCCTTTATCTTCCTTTCTTTCCTCCTCCTTTATCTTCCTTCCTTCCCCTCCTTTATCTTCCTTCTTTCCCCCTCCTTTATCTTCCTT